CAGTCAATTGTAGGATTTAAAGAATTGCAACTTTATCGTGGAAAGTTCTAAATTGCAACTTTGTAGAACAAGCCCAAGCCAAAACGGTTAGGATAGTTCTTGGGCAATATTTAATGTTTCAAACCTTATTTATATGTATTTCAATTTTCCGGCAGACATCTACTTTGGAACATGAAATTATGCATGTAGAGTCCGTAGTAAAGAGAACCTATAAAATTGGACGTTTTGGTACTTTTTCGTTCTTCAAAAGGTACTTTATATGTTTTCTATTTTGATGGAATGAAAATCTATTTACATATGGGGAATTTCGTGTCAAGTGACCCAACTTTAAAAATCGATGTCTTTCGATTTGGATGAAATTTGCACCAAGGTTAGTACTATGAGATAGTAGGTCAGACACTAAGTTATCACAAAACTTTTAACGCCAATGGTCTAAGCTTTCTTTTGAGTCCATTTTAAAAAAATAGGGGAAAATTAAGAGCCAAATATTAAAAAAAAATTATTCTTGAGTTAAAAAATAATTCTGTTGATGGCTATCCCGCTCCCATCCCATTATGGGACTATAAAGCCCTTGAAGGAAATTTTAAAAGCGTTCTTTTAAAAAAAAACAAAAAATAAAAAGGGCCCATTTTGAAAAAAAAAAAAAAAAAAAATTTTAAAAATATATTTTTTTAAACTAAAAAAAAATTAAAAAAAAATTTTGGAAAAAAATAAAAAAAAAAATATTAAAAAAAAAATTTTAACATTTCTTTTTTGGAACGAATTAAGAAGAAATAGCTATCTGAACTCCTTTGGACAATTTTTGCTAGGACCAATAGGTGAAATGTTACACTCATTTGAATAAAACCCTGTATTACCAAAATATCTAACTTTAACCCCCTCTAAGTCCGCCAGTTCTTTACCGATAGAGTTAAAAATTTATATCTGACCTACTATCCAATAGTACTAAATATCGTCGAAGTCGATTCTTGAGTTGGGTCACTTTACATGAAATTCCCCATATGAATGCATTGCTTTTGTTAACGACACTTGTACGTATACGTTTTATTGATATTACAAATATTAAGTATACGCCTAATTTAGGGAAGCGTTTGAAATATGTTTTTAAACGTAAAAAATCGTTTTTGAAGATAATTTTATATGTTCACAATTTTTGTTTTTTATGACAAGAACTTCAACCTCATCCTCAGAGATTAAATCAAAATTCCGATTTTTTTTTTTTTTTTTTTGCAAAAATGACACCGAGTCCCCAAATCTTTGGCAGCCTTTAAAAGAAGTACATAACTTTGATAAAAACTGGGGAACACGGTTTTTTTTTTTGGTCATTTATCACGTAGTGGTGTCCGTATATGTTTCTATTGCACTGTGTAACCGATTGGATCATTCTTTGGATTTTAGCTTTTCCTTTCCGCTAAAGGCGTAGATGTATTTCTTCGTATTTGATGTATTTACATCCTCCTTTCAGATTAATTAATTAATTAACTAACTAACTACTAACTAACTGACTAACTACTACTAACTAACTACTAACTACTAACTAACTAACTAACTAACTACTAACTAACTAACTACTAACTAACTAACTAACTAACTACTAACTAACTAACTAACTAACTAACTAACTAACTAACTAACTAACTAACTAACTAACTAACTAACTAACTAACTAACTAACTAACTAACTAACTAACTAACTAACTACTAACTAACTAACTAACTAACTAACTAACTAACTAACTAACTAACTAACTAACTAACTAACTAACTACTAACTAACTAACTAACTAACTAACTAACTACTAACTAACTAACTAACTAACTAACTAACTAACTAACTAACTAACTAACTAACTAACTAACTAACTAACTAACTAACTAACTAACTAACTAACTAACTAACTAACTAACTAACTAACTACTAACTAACTAACTAACTAACTAACTAACTAACTAACTAACTAACTAACTAACTAACTACTAACTAACTAACTAACTAACTAACTACTAACTAACTACTAACTAACTAACTACTAACTAACTAACTAACTAACTAACTAACTAACTACTAACTAACTAACTAACTAACTAACTACTAACTAACTAACTAACTAACTAACTAACTACTAACTAACTAACTAACTAACTAACTAACTAACTACTAACTAACTACTAACTAACTAACTAACTAACTAACTAACTAACTAACTAACTAACTAACTAACTAACTAACTAACTAACTAACTAACTACTAACTAACTAACTAACTAACTAACTAACTAACTAACTAACTAACTAACTAACTAACTAACTACTAACTAACTAACTAACTAACTAACTAACTAACTAACTAACTAACTAACTAACTAACTAACTAACTAACTAACTAACTAACTAACTAACTACTAACTAACTAACTAACTAACTACTAACTAACTAACTAGCTAACTAACTAACTAACTAACTAACTAACTAACTAACTAACTAACTAACTACCTAACTAACTAACTAACTAACTAACTAGCTAACTAACTAACTTTTTCCCAATATCAAATAATATACACAGTTTAGTGCATATTATATACATATGTAAGTATTTGCAATAACATAATGATTAATATCTTAAGTAGTAATTTTAATCCAGTATAACCCCGCCCATAAGGATTCAGTTATCACATGATTTTAATTAGCAAATAAAACATATAATACCTTGAACTTATTATTTATATATGAAATGTTTTCTATGTATTCATGGATATGAGTACCCAGCGAACATTGTTGCTTAATTTTTTAAGAAATATTAATATTATAACGGATATAATATTTCTTAAAAAAGTACGTTCGGAAGTCATTAATTTGATACTCGTTTAACATTCAAAAGGTATCAATGAATCCCTTCTAAAACACCTCTCTCAGAACTAGTTTTGTGTTGGTTCCGTTTATTTCGAAAGATATTGTGAATGATATGCCTTCAAATGGAAAAGTGATGTTTTTATTTTTTAAACGTTTGCTGGGTAGTTATGTGTGCCAGTTGTTTGTGGTTGTGTCTTTTTAGCATAATGAAAAATTAACATGGTTTTTTAGGGGGAAAAACAATTAAAATTTTCAACTTAAAAAAAACAACTCCATACATGCACAAAGATGCCGACTTTTTTGTGGGTGTGTATATAAAATAAACACTTAAAGGAAATTGGCCAGCAAAACATCTTAAATTTTCGGTAATGGCCAGTAGTTGTTTCATATATTACTTGGTAATGAGTGGTCATTATCAAGCATATTATTTCATTTAGCTGATTTTGCAATTACTGGCAAAAAGCGAAGTAATTCGGATTCGGATGGTCTTTTGCATCCATTTCTCCAACTGGAGGTTTGTGATTAGATCTCTGCTGGATACCAATTATTTCTTTCAAAATGATTTTATTACTTTCAATTCTTTCTTTTATATATAGCTTTGAATTTTCTCAGTGTGTTTTTAAAATTATATGAATAATATTTCTACACAGTATTTTTTGGTTACAAAATATACATTACGCATATGGCTTAGAAAAACAAACAATTTAAAATAGCTGTAACCATATCTATGAAAACTCACATTCACCAATGCATTTAATATATTCATAATAAGCAGTATTGTTTGTTTTAGTTTTTGAAAAAAACATATTTGGGTTATGAGAGTGTATTTGAGTATTTGAGCATAACTAAACGAAAAAATATAAAATGCGTGAATACAGAAAAAACATTATTTCAAGGCTTTTACCGCAAAAATTATCAAAAAACAAAGACATTATTCCAGAGACCGAATAAACCGAAACAACCAAACAGCCATGAAGAAATAAAATGCATTATGTTTGTGTTATTTTTACTATTTTAGAGGAATATTAGTCGATGCACTATTTAGTTTTCACTTTCGTAGGTAATTTCTACACAACATATTTTAAAATTTTGTCTCTATATTGATATTAAATGTATATATGCAAGGGAGTAAATTCAGATAAAATTTGTTGATTCGGATATTGCAGAAACTACAAACGGAAGGACAATATGTTTACCATTCTCACGATATGTTGTTTAAGGCATTTTTTTAATAAATTAAAAAAAAAAAAATTAAAAAAATCCGAAAATAATTATGCTGAAGGGTATATGAGATTCGACACAGCCGAATATGTATTACACTCTTATTGTTTTCATTTAATATTCTATGTATTCGTTTTTAATGTTTATATGAATATCTTGGTTTCATTTGTTTGTATAATATGAACTCATCTTTTCAATTTTAGAAAGTGAAATTCTAAAAATTTGGTCAAGCACTTAGATACTATGTATGTCCAATTTTAAAATGAACTTTTTTGCTTGCTACTTGTTATTGACAAGTCGAAATGGTCTTGGTTTTATTAATATTTTTCAACTCTAACTGGACAACTAAACAATGCTAAAAAGTTCTTTAGAAAACACTTTTGCATTTCTAGGTCAAACATTTCCATTTGAAACAAATATAACAAAAATATTCACATTATGTTTGCCATATAGCAAATGTCAACAATACAATAACATTCTATAACAAGTAAGAAGTCATAGTCGGACGGGGCCGACCATATAATACACCCTACACCAGTTAAAAATGTGATTTAGTGTTCATAATAAAGCATTTCGGTTGAATTGTACCTTGCCTCAGATATACTTTAGCCATTTTTTTGTTGAATAAAAATGTGTACATTTAAGTCCATTTACATGGACGGACAGACAGACAGACAGACAGACAGACGGACGGACGGACGGACAAAGCTAAATCGACTCAGAAAGTGATTCTAAGCCGTTTGGTATACTTTTACGTGGGTATAGGACGAATATTACTGTGCGTTACAAACATAAGCACAAACCCAATATACCCTCCCCACTAAAATGGTGTAAAATGGGGTATAAAAATATACATTTTTCTAAAAATGGAAAATTAACCAAAAACAGTTTACGAAAAGAAAATTAAATTCTTAACATTTGCCACTTACCTTCAACCAATTATGTGTCAACTTCAGTGATCTCACCGATTGAGCCAAAGCAGCGGGTATTTGACATAAACCAGTACCACTAGCATCCAATTCTTTCAAACTCCACGAGGCAACAAATTCTTGCATATAAGCTCCTATCTCCGGATTGAATGCTATATTCAAAGCTACCAATCCCGTTATACCCTGCAAAGCTCTAATGGATTTTCCCTTTAAACCATTAAAAGATAAATCCAAATATTGTAGATTTGGCAAAGCCAAAAATGTTTCGTAATCTATATCACTGATATTGTTGTGTGACAGCAGCAAAGTGTTTAGGCTTAACAGGTTGTAAAATGTTTCACGATATATGGAGCCCAATTGGTTAAAGGCCAAATTTAAATGTTTCAGATTATGCATGCGCTGATTGAAAAAGGAAGACTCTGAATTTTGTAAAAGATTGTGAGAAATGTCTAGAGATTCCAGATTCTTTAGCAAAGAAAAATCTATTGAGGAAAGATTCTCTATTAGATTGCTGGAGAGATAAAGATTACGCAGATAGATGTTGGAGGGTAATAAAGAGGTTTTGATTAAATTGTTGTTGAGATTAAGTGTTCTCAAAGTTGTGCCCTGGGAGAGAGGTATCGCAGTAAAAGAGTTGTTTTGCAAATTGAGAGTGTTGAGGGAGGTTATGTTAGTGAAAACTGAAGTATTAAGTTTAGCTATATAGTTATGACTCAAATCTAAGACAGACACCAAATTCAAACGTTTCTGTAACTGAGGCGTAAGCTGAAACTCGGTTAAGTTTTGTTGACTTAAATTGAGCACTATGTCCTTCTCCTTGGTAGAACGTTTAATCAACTGATGGCTCTCCTCATAACTGGGTGAACGTTTTTGATAATATCTTAATTCCGTATCCTCTCTCCGATAGCTGGGCTCATTTTCATCTCTCAGTATACGATGTATCGTCTCGTATGATAGACGTTTTAACTCACTGCGATATAAATTGAAATGCTCTCCACTGTTGTCATGCTGGCTGGCGGCACTTGCCGAACCCGCCTCATGTATATTGGTTTTCTCTTGCAGCAAATCGTCATCATTGATGAGAAGTCTAATTTGGGGATTCTCTAATTTGGCACATCTTATGATTGGCAATATGGCGCTAATAACACATAAAATTATTATTAATCTAACATCACAGTTTTTTACAAAGACATTATTGTTGAATGTCAATCTTGTTTGAAAAATTTGGCATTTAAATGACATGTTTATGTTTTGGTAAATGAAGCTCAGACCCAAAAAATGGAAATAAGCTGTTTATTTGGGAGGGTAAATAAGATTCTTATGTTACTCCTGATGGTGGTAGTTTTTGTTGTTGTGGCTTTAAAAGCTTGATTTTTTATATATTTTTCTGTTGATTGTAATAATTTGACAGCGTTTTTTTTTTGCGATTTTTATACTTAATTTAAATTTAACATTTTGTTAATGTTTCGTCGCTCTCTCTCGCTCTTTAGGTTACCAGGTAACAGTAATGTCAGCCCAAAAGCATGAATAAAATTCCAAAATATAAGTTTTTCGCTGCGGTGCTGTATTTACTCAACGTGATGTTCATTAGTTGACATACAGCAGGGTTGGTTGGTTGTGTTGACAAATTTTCTTTTATTTTTTCTTTCGAAATCAAAATTTAAGTCACGTTTCTTGTTTTCTTCTGGCTGTGCTGGTAGAATTCAATATTATTATTTCTTTAACACCATGTCACCACAATTTTTTTCCTTTCTCTAATTCTTCCCGTTTTACTGTTTAATATACTTTTGTTGTAACAGCAGTAATAGTTGTTGTTTGTAAGAGAAATTTCATTTAAATATTTCCACGTAAAACAGAGCTAAACGTAACAGCAAAAACGAAAGAAATTTATTTGGTTTTTCAATTAAACATCAACAAATTTTTCATTTCTCCAAATAAAGCACAAAATCATAAAAATAAGCATGAGTCAGTCAACTACAGCAACGCCAAATTGATGACAAACGTTTGGCTCTGGTCTCTTCTCTTTATGACGTCCCTTGGCTTTTATTTCATTAACATTTGCTTAATTTTAAATTATCATTAATTTTCTTTTTTACACTTGTACTTCCTTTATTATAATTATCTCCTTCTCCGTCTTCTTCAGTAGAGTGACATTTATTTAATTGTTTTTTTAATATATATTTTTGACATCGTTTTCCGTTATATTTATCGAAATAATTGCACGTATTTCATTTAAAAAGTCCATTAGGTTACAGAGTATGTTGTAAACATTGTTGTAATAGCCTTCCTAAGCATCTTCTGTGTTAAAAATTGTATTTCTATTTTATTAGTTCTTCATCACAATTTTCAAGCACCTGCCCTTTTTTGGCTTTTAACTGCGGCGTGTTTGCTTCTGCAATAAAAAAAGAGTAAAATGTATTTTTAAGTATAATTAACATTTTAACAATAACAAGAAAAACGTAACAAATAAATTTTATTTTAAATCGTCTAATATTGCCTTTATACACATATTTATGTAACAAATTAATTGTTCTCATTAACTTTGAGCTTTATTATTCTACACAGTAAGGAAAATTAAACATTTTTGTTGCAAAGTTTTAATTACTCTGATTCTTTTTTTGTGATTTTGATTATATTACCAGTAGAGAATTTAACAATTTTAGAACACATAATGAGAGCTTAAAACACTAGCTGAATTCGAACTGTTCTAGAACTGAACTAGAACTGAACTAGAACTGAACTAGAACTGAACTAGAACTGAACTAGAACTGAACTAGAACTGAACTAGAACTGAACTAGAACTGAACTAGAACTGAACTAGAACTGAACTAGAACTGAACTAGAACTGAACTAGAACTGAACTAGAACTGACTAGAACTGAACTAGAACTGAACTAGAACTGAACTAGAACTGAACTAGAACTGAACTAGAACTGAACTAGAACTGAACTAGAACTGAACTAGAACTGAACTAGAACTGAACTAGAACTGAACTAGAACTGAACTAGAACTGACTAGAACTGAACTAGAACTGAACTGAACTAGAACTGAACTAGAACTGAACTAGAACTGAACTAGAACTGAACTAGAACTGAACTAGAACTGAACTAGAACTGAACTAGAACTGAACTAGAACTGAACTAGAACTGAACTAGAACTGAAACTAGACTGAACTAGAATAGAACTGAACTAGAACTGAACTAGAACTGAACTAGAACTGAACTAGAACTGAACTAGAACTGAACTAGAACTGAACTAGAACTGAACTAGAACTGAACTAGAACTGAACTAGAACTGAACTAGAACTGAACTAGAACTGAACTAGAACTGAACTAGAACTGAACTAGAACTGAACTAGAACTTAACTAGAACTGAACTAGAACTGAACTAGAACTGAACTAGAACTGAACTAGAACTGAACTAGAACTGAACTAGAACTGAACTAGAACTGAACTAGAACTGAACTAGAACTGAACTAGAACTGAACTAGAACTGAACTAGAACTGACTAGAACTGAAACTAGACTGAACTAGAATGAACTAGAACTGAACTAGAACTGAACTAGAACTGAACTAGAACTGAACTAGAACTGAACTAGAACTGAACTAGAACTGAACTAGAACTGAACTAGAACTGCTGAACTAGAACTGAACTAGAACTGAACTAGAACTGAACTAGAACTGAACTAGAAATGAACTAGAACTGAACTAGAACTGAACTAAAACTGAACTAGAACTGAACTAGAAATGAACTAGAACTGAACTAGAACTGAACTAGAACTGAACTAGAGCTGAACTAGAGCTGAACTAGAACTGAACTAGAACTGATCTAAAACTGTATTAGAACTGAACTGCAACTTGTCTGAAGTAGAATAGAATTATGCCAGTACATTGCGAAATTATATTCCTATTTATTTTTGAATTGTTTAATACTCTAGAGTAGTTTTACTAAGTGGCTGCCGGTATCTGTTACTTCTAAGTTTATCGAACTATATTGTTAGTAATTTAACATTGCTTCAGTTGCTGTATTTTTGCATTAGTTTTCAAATTAGCACTGCATTTACATTAATTGCAAATAGGCAGGCATATTACTTTGTGTAGGTGTTGCTGCTATTTTTGTATTTTGGTTTTGCATTAAAATTCATTCTAGTTGTTATGGTTAAAATCTCTTCGATAACTTTTAATGTTGCATTGTGGTTTCATAAGTATTGGTGTTTACATTATGGGAATTTATTGTGTGTGTGTAGGAAAGTAATTAAGGAAATGTAAATATAAATATTTAAAACAAATACACTTGCTCTAGAATTTACAATAATAAATAGCAAATATACATTATTGTTAAAATTGCACTCGCTTAACAACAGTAATAACCCTAATAGAACATGGAGATTTTTGTTTGCTTTAAATATAAATATTTATGTGGGTTAAATTCTAATTACTAATTAGAAAAGTATATTTTTTGCAGTTATGTTTCAAATTTCCTAAAATATTGTATATTTAGAAAAGTTTCTTTTCATTTGACTGAGTTTTAGTTATTGCCTTGTATTTAATTTAATAAGCAAAAATATACATATAGATCTACATATGTATAACTTTTCTTTATTAAAAGTTTTCTAGCTCAAACATGTGTTTTTTGAATAGTTTCTACAGTTGTGAATAGTTTAAATCAAGTTTATAAGATTAATCATACTTATTTACTTTGGAAAAATAAGACAGTGTATTTAAGATAAGTTTAATTGAGATTAACGTAAACAAAATTGGACAGATTAAAACCGAATTATACTAAAACTGAATTAAATTATAAATTAAAGTTGAACAGAACAAGACCAGAAATAAAACACAACTAGAACAAGTAAAGAATTATCACTATCTTAAACATAGAACAGAACTAGAAATAAAAACCAATTAAACTTCAACTACATATGTGAATTTAAATAACAATTTATTTGAACCCTGGAACGTATGATTGATGTTAATAGTTTTCGATATCTACACAGCAATCATACGTACAGGTGATGGAATCATAATTATATTTAGTGTGAGTAAAAGTGTGCTGATGTTTATTATTACTTCTTTAATTCGACACGTGTTATTTTGTTGTTGTTGTTATGTTTAATAAACATGTTATTGATCTCAAAGTTTTATAAGAAAATTATGTAAAACTCCCCAGTAGCAGTACGACCTTTCATATTTCCAAGAAATTAACCTAATGATATAAATATATTTAGAAAATAATATCAACAAATTGAGACGTGTGTTTTATAATCATTTATATAAATTCGATAAAACAGACGTAACAGTATTTTGGTAATGAGACTTTTTAGTTTAGAACCTATAGAATTTATTTTGCGTTCCACTGTGCTTTTGGATAAATTTTTACCACTCGTGATTTTTTTGCTGGTAATAAGGTCAGCATTTACTTTAATCTTCTTTCTTGTTTTTATGTAGAGAAAAGTTTTGTTTAAAAATAAAAAAATAATTTAGATAAAAAAATAATAATACGAACAAGCAACGTAAAACATGCATTATAAAATGCCAAGATAAACATAACAAAAGTACATTAAAATTTATACCATTATACACTCTCCATACATACAGAAATAAACATATTTTAACCATTATTTTCTTTTATTTCTTATTTGAATCGATAAAGTAAAATGTAATATCCAACTCATGTGTGTAGATGTATATATGTACATATGTATGTTTTTTAAATGGAAATTATCTAATTTCTTAAATCTTGCAGTAGAACAAAATCTCATAAGTATGTTAAGCAGTGGTGGGAAATTTTTTAAGTTAAACTATATTTTGAAAATACTTTTTTTATTCAAAATTAAAATATTCATATTCATTGAGCATTAGAATATGTCGAAATACATAAATATACTTATATGGCTCAATTTTGAATTATACCTTACTTCTTTAAAACTAGTTTCCCAACTCTGATTTTCCAGTATTACTTCGACCAGATGATGACTTTTGTTCGTAATGATCTCGTTTTTAATGTTGCCTTTAAGTAACCCCTTTTTATTTTTATTGACTAAAAACAAAAATATACACGCACATACATATGTATGTTTGTTTTTATTGTTTTTATATTTATTTCTTCATTTATTGTCTCTGTATGCGAATGAGGTTTTTTTTGTTTTCCTTCTATTGTTTTCATTTGTAAATATTTTAGACTTTTTTTTTAAGCTTTCGGCAATAAGAATTTATCTCTATGTATTTTATAACTTACAAATTGTTTTCATTCTCCCTACTTCTACTTTCTTTTTATTGGCAGGTATGTACCACAAACAAGAAGTGAAACAGATAAAGAGGAGGAAGATCAATATGAAATGGTAATAAATGGTTGGTAACATATGACACCAATATCTAGTCCTTGTAGGTATTACAATATAGGTTTACCTACATACCTACATGTATCTGTTTAAGCAAAAAAGTACATCTTTTCCTGCAGCTTTGGTTAGTAGTCAACTTACCTAGAGCAGTCTTATATACCGTTCTAGTTCAGTTCTAGTTCAGTTCTAGTTCAGTTCTAGTTCAGTTCTTGTTCAGTTCTAGTTCAGTTCTAGTTCAGTTCTAGTTCAGTTCTAGTTCAGTTCTAGTTCAGTTCTAGTTCAGTTTCTAGTTCAAGTCCTAGTTCAGTTCGAGTTCAGTTCTAGTTCAGTTCTAGTTCAGTTCTAGTTCAGTTCTATTCAGTTTCTAGTTCAGTTCTAGTTCAGTTCTAGTTCAGTTCTAGTTCAGTTCTAGTTTCAGTTCTAGTTCAGTTCTAGTTCAGTTCTAGTTCAGTTCTAGTTCAGTTCTAGTTCAGTTCTAGTTCAGTTCTAGTTCAGTTCTAGTTCAGTTCTAGTTCAGTTCTAGTTCAGTTCTAGTTCAGTTCTAGTTCAGTTCAGTTCAGTTCTAGTTCAGTTCTAGTTCAGTAGTTCAGTTCTAGTTCAGTTCTAGTTCAGTTCTAGTTCAGTTCTAGTTCAGTTCTAGTTCAGTTCTAGTTCAGTTCTAGTTCAGTTCTAGTTCAGTTCTAGTTCGTTCTAGTTCAGTTCTAGTTCAGTTCTAGTTCAGTTCAGTTAGTTCTAGTTCTCAGTTCAGTTCTAGTTCAGTTCTAGTTCAGTTCTAGTTCAGTTCTAGTTCAGTTCTAGTTCAGTTCTAGTTCAGTTCTAGTTCAGTTCTAGTTCAGTTCTAGTTCAGTTCTAGTTCAGTTCTAGTTCAGTTCAGTTCTAGTTCCGTTCAGTTCTAGTTCCGTTCAGTTCTAGTTCCGTTCAGTTCTAGTTCCGTTCAGTTCTAGTTCAGTTCTAGTTCAGTTCTAGTTCAGTTCTAGTTCAGTTCTAGTTCAGTTCTAGTTCAGTTCTAGTTCAGTTCTAGTTCAGTTCTAGTTCAGTTCTAGTTCAGTTTAG